ATGCCCACCTCTGCCCATCTCTGTTCACATCTATTCTACTCTGCCCATCTCTGTCTGCTCTGTCCATCTCTGTCCACCTATACCCATCTGAACCTACCTTGGCCTATCTCTCCCCATCTCTGCCTGCCTCTACCCACCTCTTCCCACCTCTGCCCACTTCTGAATGGGGAGGCCAGTCCTCCCTGACTTTGGAACTATTACTTCACTGATGATTTCATCTTTCTCCTTTACTGTCCACCTCTTCCTCTCAATTAGTTCTCTCCCACCATCAATAAGTACATCTCATATCTCAAAAAACAACCCTTCCATTCCTGTCTTGCCCCTTCCCCTCTCGTCCAGGCTCCTTGAAAGACTAGTCTCTGACCTCCTTCCCTCCATACACACCTCTAGCTGTCCTCAGCACTCTCCTGAAACTGCTCAGGTTACTGGTTATAATCCAATGGAAAACCTTCTGGCCTTGTCTTCCTTGGCTTCTCCATGGTTTTCATCATTGTTAACCACTGCTGCCTTTTTAACAATTGCTCCTCCCCTGGCATCTGAAATCCAGGTTCTCTGCCTCTCTGGCTGGCCCTGATGTGTCTCCCTCCCTCCTTGTAACCCTGCCTGGCACCTTGTCCCCCCTCCACCCAGCACCCTTCTCACTCCAATATTCTCATGCTCTTCCCTCCCAACCACCTTCCCTGTGCTAACTACTCCCAAAACTGTCTGCAGACCCAGAGCCATGCTGCCCAGCACCTGCTGGACACCTCACTTGAATACCAAGCCCCTTGTTACAGACTGAATTGTGTTCTCCAAAAATATGTGTTCCTAGCTCCTACACCTTATAATCCCATTTGAGAATGGGTTTTCTTTGTTATGTTAATGAGACAGCATTAGTTTAGGGTGTGTTTTGAGTCAATTCTTTTGAGATATAAAAAGAACAGATTAGGTAGACAAGCAAAATGATCAGGTATAGATAGGCAAAAGGGAATATACCCTTGACCATATATATAAATGTGGCAGACGATATTTCTACATACGTATTTGTACGTGCTATAAGAATGTCCGTATATATAATAGAGCTAATGGGAAAAGTTATGATAACTTTTTAGTCACAGCCAAACACCTTGAGGGAGTGAGTCACTAGGCCTGAGGGCTGGGAACGATGGTCACAGGGGACATCAAGTTCAATTGGCAAAACATACTAGGCAAAAACATTATTCTACAACCTGCTTTGGTGAGTAGTGACTAGAGTCTCAAAAACTTGCAAGTGGCCACCTAAGATGCAACAACTGGTCTCTCTTCATCCGGAACAAAGAAGAGTGAAGAAAATCAAAGACACATGGAAACAATTAGTCCAGAGACTAGTTGATCATGGGATCCTCAGCCTACAGCCTACATGACCCTGAGACCAGAAGAACTAGATGGTGCCCAGCTGCTACTGCCAACCACTTGGCAAGGGATCAGTACAGGAGATCCTGGACAGAGTGGGAGAAAAATGTGGAACAAAACTCAAAACTCTTTAAAAAAAAAAAAAAGAGCAGGCTTACTGGTCTGACAGAGACTGGTAAAACCTTCAAGACTATGGCCCAAGTCACCCTTCAGGCTTGGAATTAAACTTACTTCCATGGCTTAACTTTTAGCCAAACAACAGGCCTACAAGGTAAAAACAACACCAGGTAAGTACACACCTTAGAACAATCAACCATGGGAGATCAGAAGGGTAGCATTTGCACATGGAGATAGCTCAGAGGGCAGAAATGCACAGGAAAGAAGGACACAGGGAAAAGGTAACCACAGGGAGGGAGTGGGAAGGGCCGATAGGTTGTGGGGATTGCAATCAATGTCATGAAACAAAATGTGTATGAGCTGCTGTAAGGAAAATGAATTTGCTCTGTAAACTTTCACCCAAATCAAAATAAATATTTTTTTTAAATCACAATAAATAATTAAAAAAAAAAGATTGGGCATAGAGAAGCAGTAGAAATGGGGAAGGAGAGACAATGTCACACCACATAAAGATCACCAAGGAGCTGAGGAATAGAAACTGAAGAGACAAGGACTTTCCTCCTGAGCCAACAGACAGACAGAAAGCCTTCCCCTGAAGCCAGCACCCTGAATTCAGACTTCTAGCCTCCTATCATGGATCGAATTGTGTCCCCAAAAAATATATGTCAACTTGGCTGGGCCATGATTCCCAGTGGCTTGGCAGTTACATAATGATATAATTTGGCAGTTACGTAATGATGTAATCATCCCCTATGATGTGATCTCACGTGATCAGCAAACCAGTTGTAAAGGGTAAACTTTCACACAAGTCACAATAAAAAGTTTCAAAACTTTTAAAAATAAATCAGTTGTAAGGGGATTAGGGTGGGACGCAATACCCTTACTCAGGTCACAGCCCTGACCCGATGTAAAGGGAGTTTCCCTGGGGTGTGGCCTGCATTACTTTTTAATCCTACAAGAGCTCAAAGGAGACAGAACTGAGCAGAGAAGGAGGGACCTCAGTACCACCAAGAAAGAAAAGCTGGGAGCAGAGTGGGTCCTCTGGATCCGGGGTTCCTGTGCTGAGAACCTGATGGACACAGGGGAAGACTGATGCTAGGACACATGGAGATCTCCAAGGAATGCTGGGCCCACAGATGCTGCAAGGGGACAAGAGCTGCCCCTACAACCATCAGAGAGAGAAAGCCTCCCCTAGAGCAGCTGCCCTGGATTTGGACTTCTAGCCTCGAAACTGTGAGAGAATAAATTTCTCTTGGCTAAAGTCTGGTAGTGTAGTGCCTAAGGCACTTGACGGCTAACCAGAAGGTTGGCTGTTCAAACCCACCAGCCACTCCTTGGAAGGAAGATGGGGCAATCTACTTCCGTAGTGATACTGCCTCAGAAACCCAAGCAGGGGTCGCTATGAGTTGGGTCTGACTCGACGGCACATAGCAACAACAACAACAAAAGCCACCCACTTGTGGTATTCCTGAGCAGCCGTAGGTAACCAAGACATCCCACAATCTCAATCCGTCTGGAACTGAGCTCTTATCCTTCCCACCCCACCCCTTTCACCTCCCTGAAGCCTCTCTCTCAGTTCGTGGCACCACACAATGCCCTTCCATGGGAAACCCCACATGCAGGCAGTGACAGCACCACAAGTACCTGCCCCGATCCTCATGGCACTGCCCTGGTGCGAGCTGTCGCCATCACCTGAGCTCCTCTCGGGGGGTGCCTCTGCTTCCAGCCCACCCTCACTCCCTCACTGCTCTGCTGAAAACTATCCAGCCGCTTCCAGAATCCTCTGGTTAAATTCTAAACTCCTGAACATGGCACACGATGCCTCCACTCCCACACTCCTCCCCTTATGCACACTCCCCCAGCCCACTCAGCCTTTCCAAAGCCCATCACGCACTTTCACGCTTCTGTGTGTTTGCAAGTGCTGCTAACTAGCCAGGATGCTCCGGCCCTTCTTCCCTTCCCTAACTCCATGGTGGTCAGGACCTTCCAAACTCTGCCCTTCTCCCATACGACGCTTTCAACTGTCTCTGCCCCTGTCAAATCTTCTCAACTTTCTAGTACTTTTGTACCATGTAGAGTCTACTACTGCACATACATAGCAAATCTCATTGGTTTTTCTGTTTACCTCCACATTAAACAGCGAGTTCTTTGTGAGATCACTTTGTCTCCATATTTGGCATGTTTAGCACACGGTGCTTTGTTCTGCTGTGTGCCATCAAGTCAATTTCCACTCACGGCAATGCCATGTGACAGAGTAGAACGGCCTCATAATAGATGCTTAATAAGTGTATTGAAACTGAATGGGTTCTACCAGAGGCGTTTATTTCCAAAGGATGCTTGGACATGGGAGTACGAGGGAACTCTGCGGATTCAACTGTGGGTTCCTGAGTTCCTGGCTTTGTCTCTAAGGAAGGGATTGTGCCTTTGGGAAGGAGCTGTGGTGCCACAGTAGTCAAGTGCTTGACTGCTAACCAAAAGGTCAGTTCAAACCCAACACCACCCCACAGAGAAAGATACAGCAGTCTGCTCCCATAAAGATCACAAGCTTGGAAACCCTATGGGGCAGTTCATCTCTGCACAGGGTCTCTGTGAGTTGGAACTGACAGGACGGCAATGGTTTGCATTTTTGTGTATGTGTGCTTTTGGGCAAAGTCCCTGGGCAGTGCAAACAGTTAACACGCTTCATTCCTAGACAAAAAGGTTAGTGGTTCAAGTCCAACCAGAGGCCCCTTGGAAGAAAGGCCTGGCAATCCACTTCTGAAAATCAAAGTCAATTCAAAAGCAACTACCATCAACAGCAACAACAAAAACCCTAAAGGAGCACAGTTCACACACGTGGTCACCGTGAGTCAGAATCGACTTGAGAAAACTGCTTTGCTTTTTGGTCAGGTGACTTTGGGGGATTCGGAATCCGCATGGGGGAGCATTAGGGCTCCTGCAGCGGCAGCAGTTTCCTGTTCATATCCCGATCCACTGCTATCCTAGGAGAAGGGAATCTCAGATGGTCTGACAGCAGACAGACCAGACTTACCGCTGACTGTGCCCTCATTCCTGACTGTTGTCCTCGTCTCCCACACTCTGAATACACAAACATCTGCCACAGAGTCTATCCACTGCACCATCTGGGTCCTCCTAGAGTCACACCCCAGGCACAGACCATGGATACCCAGGGAATGAGCCCTCTCAGCCAGGGAAGGGCAAGTAGATAAAGGAGCATGAGTTTGAGCCAGGTGTTGGTAAGGGCACATTTCCAGGCAAAGAGACTCCGAAGAGAGTGGGCCCTAAGGATCTGGACAAGGAGAGCAGCAAGCACAAAATCCAAACATCTAGGAAGTTCTTTGTTCTAGATATCACCCAGTAGTATCTCCTGGAGGAGACCGCGCCTGGCTAAGGGAAAGTGGAGAAGGCTGCGGTCCAGGCAGGAGGGCCTACCCTTTCATATCAACAGACACCCATGGTGCCTTCCATCCTAGTGGGTCATTTGTAAAACTTCCAGCACATTAGATACTTACAGATGACTGAGCAGATAGGTCCCACTTTGTAATTGGTGCCATACAGGTTTGTCAATGAGTTGGCAGCCTTTTGGGCCACTTTGTTCTAGAGTGAGAGAACCAAGGAGAATAGATGGATAGTGTTGTCTCTTGAGAACACGAATGCCAGCAGAATGTATAATGGGACAGTCTGGTTAACCGGACTCCGACTCATTGAGTCTTAATACAACACCTTCTCATTTCATTTTCACTAAGAAGTATGTACAAGTTCACTTTTCTTGGTTTTGAAAATGCAACATAAAGACTCGAGTTGTTTCTCTGAACATCCAGGTACAATAAATATGCCAGAGTCATTATTTTGCCACCAGCTCTCCTTGTTCAAAATTGTGGGTAGAAACAGGATGAATATTAGAGGCTACGGAGGATGTATACTGACCCCAGGATGTACCTGGGAAGTTGATTTTTTTTTTACTAGAATCCTACATTGGCTTATTTCCCTGTAACTGTCTCTTTTTCCAAGAAGTGGAGCTCAGCAAAATATTTTCCGTTATTTGAGGGTTCCAACTTTGACTGATTGAGGCTTTACTGTCCTTGCTAGGGATAAATGTAAGGTCTTGAACTTGGGTCCAAGAAAACAACTATACAATTACCAGATGGGGGAAGCCTGGCTCAGCAGCATCCCTGAAGAGCCTGGGGGTTTCAGCTGTCAATGAGCCCAACATGAGTCAACGGCACAGAGCTACTGCCAAAAAACTAATGTGACCCTGGACTGCACGAGCAGAAATGCTCTAGATGAGGGCAGTAATGGTCACACGTGGCTCCAAGCTTGTTAACCCACAGCACAAGGTTTACATTCACCGCGGGGAGCCAGCCTTGACGAACACAAAGCAAGTCCGGAAAACAGCAACCAGAATGGTGAGGGAGCTTGGGGCCATACTGTGAATACTTGAAGGAACTAGGGGTGTTTAACAGGGTTAAGAGGTTTAATAGAGTTAAGAGATGGTTCAATGGCAGAATCCTCGTCTCCCATACAGGAGACCTGGGTTCGAGTCCCTGCCAATGCCCCTCCAGGGCAGCCACCACCACCTGTCTGCCAGCGGAGGCCTGCCTGCTGCCGTGATGCGGAACGGGTTTCAGAGGAGCTTCCAGTCTAAGACTGCCTAGAAAGAAAGAGCTGGCAATCTACTTCTGAAAAATCAGTCTGTGAAAACGCTACAGGTTACAACAGTCTGACCCCATTGGACACGGGTTCACCATGAGTCAGGGGATGCCAAGAGCAGCTAACAAGCTGGGACAAGGAAAGATCTAGGGGAGGCAGGTTACAGGTTTTCAAGTAGGAATGGATTTACCTTTCAAAGGGAAATACACTTGCTCTCTGGAGCCAGAGGGCTGGCAGGTAGAAACGATAGGTTTTGGCTCTCTGTAGAGGAAGAACTCCAACAATTAAACCTGCCCCAGTATGAAACATGCCTCCTTGGAGGCAGGAAACGGTCCCTTTTTGAGGTATTCAACCATCAGCTAGATTATTATATGGCAGGTTTGAGCATCAGATTGAGATAACTTAAGGTTATCTAGGTCCACTTCAAATACCTTTAGGTTACCTCCAACCATGAACTTCTTTTTCTGTCATTTAACCTTGAGTGACAATACTCACCATCAAAACCCTGAAAACTGCCCTATTGTGCTAAAATCCAACTGAAGACATGGAAGAGAGATCTGGATTGGAATAATTAACTCCATTTCTGTCTAGGGAGACGCTGACAATATCTATTTGAAGGCAGCATTGACCAAAAAGCCCCACCTGAGGGCTTACCCCTAACATACAGGTTTCAAAAACCAAGCCTAAAAGCCTAACTGGAAATATTGGCACATACTCTTGGGCTGGGGGCAGCTCTTGCTCAATTGTCAGCAGCCCCTGAGATGTTACCACTTTACCTAAGGTCACCACACGTCTTCCTACAGTTGGAACAGGAAAGATAGTAGAAGGCACCAAGTTAGGGAAGCAAACCAAAAGAATCAAGAAGATTCTAGGTGAGGAGCAGGGATGGCGCATTGGTTAGCATAAGCATCTGACTACAGATCCAAGAGCCTCAGATCCAATCCAAATGGCTATTTCCTAAGCAATAGAAAGCACATCCCAGGAACTGATGGTCTAATCAGGCTCCTGCTCACCCAGATTAAGGCAACAATAATTTCATGAATTCTATTTCCCAAGGAAACATAATTTAGGAGAGTTCATAACCAGTCTTTTGCCTGCATCACAGTCTTCTCAACGGTTAGACTTCTCATTCATATTTGTAACCTATCACTTGTACATCTCAACCCCAGAACCTAACTTTATGACTAAAACATAGTCATCCACACAAGGAACATTTGCTGTGGAACTGAAATGAAGTTTTAAGAACTCACCAGCTCATCAAAGTCATCTGAGTTGGAGCATGTGTACCCGTAAGGGAACATCAGCAGCTGGGAATAGCTGTGGAGGGTAATGAAGGCCTTGATGTTTCCATGAGTCTTGATGAAGTCCACAATGGATTTCACTTCAGCTTCAGAGTTGGCACTGGGTCCGTGGTAGGAATCAGAGCAAGGGTTGTCACTGGCACCAGGTCCTGACGGGAATGCAGAAGATGCCCAGTGAGAACAGAGAGCTTAACGGGCTGTTGCACGGAGGCAGTGACCACACATCATTCAGTTCCTCCTCTGGAATTTGCAGTAAGACTGTCATTACCTAAGATCAAGTCACTACCTAGGACATAGTGAAGACCTACATAAAGTGATTCTGGCCTTCTCTCTTCTTTAAAGAAATATAGTTCCTCTGTATGACAGAAAGGGCTATCAAACTAATCATCTTCTCTCTTTGGAAGTCACTGAAGAAAAGCTAGATTTAACATTATAGATGGAATTCTTACACTGGTGGAAGTGTAGCAAGTTCATGTCTCAAATCACTTCCAATTCTTAGAGTAGTAGATTCTGATCGTATGCACTCTGTACCTCTAAGGTGCAAAGCCACAAATGCAAGGAACGTCTGACACCCTTTCTACAGTGAAGAAATCACAACCACATGTGCCAACAAAGCCACCCTTAGGGTGGTGGGGCTCTCGGCCTAAATTCTCCAGCAACCAGAGTTGCTCATGACCAGGGGAATGAGTCCATTGCAGGCCTGGCTGGGGCTGTGTATGATACAGGTTCTGGAGGGGCCAACCAGGGACTGGCATTCCCCAGGATCTCAAGTGGTATCAACATTGGAGACACAACCTTTCTCACCTTATTTAGTTATTATTTTAGAGGAATAAAAACGTTTCAGGGGAAATTCTGACATTGAATCACTAGTTATTAGTCAATATTTGGATCTGATGTTTTGATTTTTTCTCCCCTACACCAAAAAACATATATATATATATATATTGTAAAGGCAACGAATGCAGTTGCCACTCATTCATACCCTGTCCCAATTCCCTGATGTGTTCTTATCAGTCCTAATTTTTTAAAAAAAATCAATGGAAACAGAACAAACAATGGAAATTATGTGAATGCTGGCATATTATGAAAACTGTCACCCACGTCACGGAACAATTTGTATAAAAATTGTTAAACGGGAACTTGATATGCTGTGTAAACTTGTCAGAAAGACACAACAAAATATTATTTTTTAAAAAAAAAACAAAAACAGTTGTCACAGAGATGATTCTGACTCATGACAACCCACGTGTTTCAGAGACGAACTGCACTCTCCCAGGTTTTCAACGGCTATGATCTTGTGGGATTAGATCACCAGGCTTTTCTTCTGAGGTGTCTCTGGGTGGATTCGAACCTCCTGGAACTTCCTACATTTCAGTTAGCAGCTGAGCGCTTAACTGTTGGGGCCACCCAGGGACATGTCTTGGCTCCATGCCACTCATTAATTCATTTTACAATTACTTAGTGCCTGTCTTCTGCTGTTTCAGACACTGTGCTGGAATACTGCAGGGAAAAAGACACAACTCTTAACCTGTTACCGCAGCCTAGTAAGGAAAACAAAATTTCAATTTTGAGATTAGTGACAGAGAGAGGTTTTAAAAGATGGTGCTGGAAAGCTCAAAGCAGGCCCCTCGCCAGCCTGCCACTGAGCTCTGAACAGTTAGAGCTGCAAGTCACCAAAGCCAGGGCAGCAAGCTAGTATTTTATCTTTGAATCTATTCTGAAAATCAATGTTTTAATCCTATTTGTAATTCTTTTTCGTTTTCTTTCTCGAAACATCCACAGATGATGTAATGCTTCTCCTCTAAGCAGATCCTCACGCCCCCTAGTGGTTGGTTCCGGGCTTCGGGAAGCCTCCCGCCATTGCGCAAAGCCTGGCTCCTGCAGCTCAGAAGCCCAGCCAGAGCCTGGCTACAGCTAGTGGGAAAACCAAGATGTGAGGCGAAATTTATTAAATGCTGCTCAGAGCTCTGTGACAGTGCTGCGCGCCTGTGAAAAGACTTAAGTGTTTCTCAAATAGGTTTTTAAATGGCTTGGATCCTGAATGGGCTTTGCAGGCTGACAGCGCTGCAGAGAGAGGCAATTGCCATAGCGAGGTGGCCAGACAATGGTCTGACAGGCCCTGCGCTCACCTCCAAAATCTGCGTCCCAGTTCCGGTTAGGATCCACACCCACGCAGTAGCTGCCAGGGACCCTGGACCGGGTCTTCCGCCACATCCGATTCTTTAAAATGCAGGGGGAAAGAAAGCTGGTCATTCTGCCTGATGTGAAGGTCCCTTTAGAATTCTGGTAATTTCTCTAGTGCCCTCCTGCGAAGGCCTCTTTAGAAATGTGCTGGTGTCCCCTGGCTCAGAGGTGCGATTAGTCCTTAATCCTGGGTTCTGCCTGGAGGCCCCAGGCGTCCCAACAAGTGAGGATAGTCCCTCATCTCCTGAAATGAATACCTGCCAAACCGTGTCCCATAACACACCAGTGTGTTCCACGTTAACCAAAACATAAAAAAAAAAAAAAAATAGGGAGAGGGTGGGGAGGGCTGTGAGAGAATATTTTGGGGAAACATGGGGCTCAATAGGCTAACTTACTTCAGAACTTCGAAGAATTTTTAATGCTTTATTGCTTTTTATGAACCCCCAAGAGAAGGCTCCAGTGGGTGGGAGTCCTCTGACTTAACTTTGGAGCCCTTTATTCCTAGGGTCTCTCGTGGGACTGGGATTGGTATTAATACAAGTTCTTTTGAAAAATATTCAGCTAGTCATCTCTCTCAAAAAATAAACTTGAAGCTCTGAATCACTTTGAACGTTCGTGGGGTCACGTTGGCGACAATGGGGTTTTGTAATGAGATTGCAAAGAAAGAAAAACAGCATAACTCTTTTTCGTGCTATTACAGAGGATTTCGTCTACAGATTGTGAGGAAAACATTAGATGCATCAGACTGCCTCCCTAAATCCTGCAATCTAATTGTCAGCAGGTAGCATCCGCCTCCTCTTTTCTATCAATCCTGCCACGAAAACACAGAGATAATTGGAACAAATCTCCTAGGTGACTCACCGTGAGTACTGAGCTCTAATAGCCTGGCAGAACCGCCGAAATGGGGTCTGACCGAGGCGACATGGAAAGCCACCGTGTGCTGGGGTAAGAGGTGATTATCAGCCCCGCTAGATACCTCGATTCAGGCCCACTATTGGGAGAGGAGGCATTCCGTTCCGGCTAAATCAAGAACAGATAGATTCCTTTCATTTTGTTTTTTGATACTCCTGCACAGCTCCCTAAATCCTTATTGAAGAAGAGAAAAAGTCCTGGCTTACTGTAGTTTGAGAGAACACATATCCGTCAGGATTTGTGACCGGCAGCAGGAAGATATCCATTGTGTCCAAAATGGAAGTGACGGAAGGATCATTTCCGTAATCAGAGGCAATCTGAGCAAAGATGACACACACACGTCAATCTCAACACTCGCCTTTTGTCAGGGAACAAAGGAGCATATTAGGGCAACATGGTTCGTTTTTTCCCCCAAATGTGTCCTAGAGATCACAGTGTTGGTGAACAGGAAGGCCCCAGGTATAATGCAGTCCAGCCCCTGCAGGGCTAACAATGTTTTAATACGTGACCGTCTACACTTTTACTTCTGGTCTGAATAATTCACTAATATTAAATACAAATCAAATACCAAACCAGGTATCTCTTGTCAGCTGTCTCTCAAAAGCAATAGCACTCTTCCTATGACTATGGTGGTGTATGTGGTCTATGGAGATCTTTGATTCCATTCAGGTGACCTAGGAACCCAGCCAGGAAAGGTTTTAATTTGCCTTCATCACCACACAGGGTAGCTTTCCAAAAGAACTCACAACCAACATCTGATGACTGAAATACACCAGGACTTTTCTAAAGATACAGAGAACTGGTAGAATTCCATTTGGGGAATTATATTTTCCCTTGCGATCCATTGCTATGGAGTTGAAGTTTCTGCTGGATTAAAATTTATTCATTTCCTGTACTCAGCCATCCTAAGGCATTATTATTCAACTGTTAAATATCCATTTCATAATACCCTCAAGGTGCGCATTTTAATTGAAGGGAAAAATGTATCAGTCGGTATGCACGTGGTGGCACATGCTTGAATGATCTGAAGTGGACTGGTTGCCTTGGCTCATGAATTACCATCCTGATTGATACAGTGTCATTTCTTAATTACTTAAGAAATACCAGACGAGGTCACACCCAGCCCCATGTCCTGGCTCCAATCCCGAGGGACATGTTGAAAAAGAGGTATTGCTACACTCTAACTTCAAAATCCAATTGGGGAAATTTTCAGAACAAGCCAAACATCCTTAACTGATTCCACTTTGCCTGCGGAGGTCAAAGTGGACTCTTCCTGTACCTGTGTCTGTCTGTCGCCTGACCCCTTCTTGATTGTATCAGTTTTTAGCACCTTAAGTCTTAGCCCTCAGTGTTCCCGGCAGCAAAGTAATTTTTCTCAAGTCTGTTCTCAAGCAGAAATCCCAGGTCCCCACTCGCCATGTTTTTCATCTCTTCTAGCTCACTCTTTTAAGAGCACATGCAGTGGTGGGCCCAGGGGGGAGTGCCAGGGAACTGGGGGGGGGGGGGGGGGGACGCTCAAAAAGTTGGCTGGAACAGTTTCCCAACTGTGTGACAGACAGCTTGGGCTGAGTGGGCTACTGTGTGGTTAGGTAGGTCCTGACCCCGAAAAGAGACAATTATCCAGGAATTTTAGGCAAAATGACCTTATTTGCGGTCCACAGTGCTGTCGCTTGTGTAACCCATTCGCGAGCATGGATCCCTGCGTCCAGCCAGATGGCGGGCTTGTCCCCTCCGGTGCTGAACTGCAAAAGATGCGTGGAAAAGTGAACGGCTCCCCCGCGACGGCCACTCCAGCCCGTCCCCACCCTGCCCTCCAGCCCCCCTTTCTGCGCTTAATGTGACAGAACTGGGCAGTGATGTTGCAGGTTAATTCTCATTTTCAGTGACTTTTTTTTTCTTTTTGGTCTTCTTTCATGGAAGCATGGATGCAGACACACAAGACGGGCAGCAAACTTCTTCCGATGTTTGAAAAAAAATCTTTGCAGATAATGTAATGGCATGAAAATACATTCATCATAAGTTGCAAACAGAAAGTAAGAGGTTACTGAATAGTATGATGTCATTCTTATTTTTAAAAAAATACATGTATATATGCACATACATAACACATAGCTCTGGTAGCATAGTGGCTAAGTCACTTGCCTGCTAACTAGATGGCTGGCGGTTCAAATCCACCAGCCACTCCTCGGAAGGAAGGTTGGGCAATCCTACTTCCGTAGTTATACTGCCTCGGAAACCCAAGGAGGGGTCGCTATGAGTCGGGGTCGACTCGACGGCACATAACAACAACAACAACAACTGGTTTATTAAGGGAGAGGCCAGGAGGAAGGAAGAGAAGGAAAAAGAAAAAAGAGAAAGAAAAAATATATATAGAAAAATAAAAAACAAAATGTTAATAGCTACTATCCCATGGTCGTTGGATTAGAATTACGCCACGCCCCCTCTCCCTTTTTGTTAACTTCTCTATGTTCCAAATTTATGCAATGATTCTATTATAAAAATAATTTTGTAATAAAAATATTTATGCTAACCTATTGAGTCCTTCATAAAAACAGCCTGGCAGGCTCTAGCGAGGCTTCCCAGACTTTAAATTTTATGACCAAACTGACTTGGTCTTCTTTGGAACACTGACTTTGCCAATTGGATCATAAATGAGGAGGAAAAGATAACGTTTGCACCATCAACTTCTATCTCTGCACAACATTCCAAACATAGCAGATAAGGTAAATGAGAGGGTTTCCAGGGTTTGGGATGCGAAGGTTTTGTGCATTTATTCTCACAAGCGCTCAAACGTAAAATCAGGCAAGTTTCAAAAACAAACACAAACCCTTCTCAACCCCAAACGGTCCCGCAGAAGGGAAGGCCAGGAAAATCCAGAGGCGGGGAGAACCTAGGGGTTGGTGACGCAGTTGTAGAAGAAATAGGAAAGAGAAAATAGGAAGGAGAGTCCTAAGCATTAGCAGACGTGCCCCGATGTCAAGTAGGCAAAAAAAAAAAAAAAAAAAATCTGTCCCAGTGAGTCAGCCACATTTCCAAATTTAGCAGACTTGTGACATTTACCTCCCCCCCTCCACCCTTAAACTCTTTCTAGGAAAGCTGGGAAAATAATTTCCACTGTGGTTCAGGGCAAGGTGAAGCAGCTCAAAATTATCAGCACTAAAACTGTTAGCGGTTACTGAAGTCAAACTTGAACGTTTTTTTCACTGAGCACTTAACAAATGAAAACTTTAAAGCAAAAATACCCCCTTCAGACTGATTTGCACCAAACAGCAATTTAATTTAGCGATCTGCCTTGAGCATTGCGCTTTTTTTTTTAAGAATTATCTATGTGGGACAAAACTGACGACAGCGACTCACGTTAGGGAATTCCCGGCTGCAGCGAGATTATTAGGTTCATGGGGGAGGAAGAATTCAGAAAAAAAAAAAGGGTTGAGGATGGCCGCCCAACTTGAATAACGTAACCCTTGTCACTAAATTGGAAGAAATCGGTGACTTTGTGCATGTTCTGTTACGTGTATTCCCAACTACAACAATAACAAAAACAAATCAAAAGTGCCTTCATTTCAGGGCATTCGCTTTGGCGGCCCGGTGGCCTGTCATCCAAGACAGTGCAAGAATTTCTTGAAGACACAGCTCAGTCAGGTACTCAGAGCGCTTTTTGCCCCCTCTTTTGGTTAATTAAAAAGAAAGAAAGAAAACAAAGAGGGCAAGAAAAAGAAAAGGGCAGGACGGCCCCCCTGGCTAACGGCACTTGCCCCCCGCCCGCCCGGGCTCCCTGCGAGCGAGCCCCTCACGGTGTGGCGCTCACTCACCCGCAGACCTGCGTCAGCCTGCGGGAAACCAGAAACCCGGAAAAGGGGGTGGGGGTGGGGGGAAGAGGAATGCGCAAAACCGGCAGAGACCGGTTGGGGGTTGGGGGAGGGTCGCTCTGCTGGCCGAGCCCGGACCCACACCGTCTGCGTAGCGGGACTCTAGAAGCCTCGGAAGGAAAGCTGTCGCTGCCCGGGTCGGTGTACCTTCAGCACGTTCATGGGCCGATTTTGAAAAGAATAGCCAATCTTCACTTTGCTCACGAGAGCAGGGTACTCAGCCACGAGGTGATCCATTTCTTGGGAAATCTAAAAGGTTTTCAATGAATACATAGGTATGTTTACATACATAAAAGGATGCATCTGTTAGTTAACTTTTTCTTGCCGCCATTTCCATTCCCTGGGGAGAAAGTGGAGCGGCAGCCGGGCGGATGCTGCAGGATTGGGATGTCCCTATCGAAGCTGAGAGTTGATGAGTCATCGCGTCTGCACGGGCTGCACAGGGAGGCGCCATTTTGCGGCCGCTCTTTGCAGTTTAGTGCCTCCGCAAAATGGCCGCTCCCTCGCTTGCCCGTGGGTTTCCTCCAGCCCAGCAATGGCAAGCAGCTACTCCTGCCACAAAGCCCTTCGCACTCACAATCAGAGGAACCAAGTGGTAGTAACACACAAAACAGTGCCTGTAGAGGCGGGCGCTCCACAATGCAACGAGGCCACTCGGGCCAGGGGACAAAAGGGCGTCTGCCTTGAGGCACTTGAGTCCCCGGCGCTCCTCGGGCGCCTATTTTCAAGGCTAATTGAAATTCTGTGCATCAGGGGCGCCCAAGCTGTGTCCATTGCTGGGATTGAGGCCTATCTGGGTGTGTCTGGTGAGTTAACGGAATGAAAACAGCTTTTTGTCAGTGTTTTCTCTCCATGGGGCATAGGCGCCATGTTGTGGGACCAGGCAAAGGACGGAGCTCATCTTGTTTTCTTTACTTCCTTTTCTCCTTGGCCTTTGGATACTGTTCCATAATGCCTTATCGGAAACCCCGGGTTATACGGATTTGTAGCTCAGAATTTTGGAAGGATTTTAGAAAAGTTATGGGAAACATATAGTGTATATTAGACGTGCAGCATTGCTCAATCGTAAACCCATTCATATTTCTGGCAATGAAACAAATAAGTAGCATGTCCGTTCAGGTCAGATTTTGCCCCCAAATGCGTTCAGATCAGGTCAGGTTCTGCCACCAAATAAATGAGAAAAAACTGTTCTCAGAGCACTTTGCAATTTAGAATCACTGACTTAGGAGCTCTGTAGTTACAAGATGTAGAAGAGAGTTGTGGCATCTGCTCCTATAAAGATGTAAAGCGTTGGAAAATCAGTGGGGCAGTTCTATGCTAGGAGTCAGGATTGACCCCAGGACAGTGAGTGGGTTTACCTTCAAGATGTCTTCTAGGGTTCTTTTCTACTTCCCCCACTCTACTCGACCTTTCACCCACCCCTCAAAATCAATGTAACTAAGCCCTGATGGGCCCCCAAAGGGGCAAACCCAGCACTGCCCAGGTGCCCAGATGGCAGCACGTGACTCAAGTAGAGGAAGGGGGCATTCTTCACAAAACTCATTCTGACAGAAGAAACTGCACAAGGCTTTGGCACAAAGTCTTGATGCTCTGGGCAGGCTGGGAGACATGCCTTTGGCTGGAAATCAGAAGGGTCAAGGTGGCCTCTGATCCCATTCTCAATGGCAGCCAGGAAAACAGAGCTTTCAAATGGCTTTGTGGAGGGCCTGGGGCAGACATCAGTAAGGAGGCCTTAGGGAAAAAGCAGGAGCAAGAGGGCTATTTGCATGCGGCTCGGGTGGCCTGGACACTTCCAGGATGGCCAGGTGGCTGTAAGATGAGCAACTGGGCTTCAGGTTCTGCAGGAAACGAGGCATGAAGCCAGTGACACTGACAGAAAACTGTGAAATCCTAGGGAAACTTGGAGAAGTTAGGAAATAAGATGGGAATACTGTCTAGGTCGTTAGTTACCAGTGGGTGTCTAGGCCATGTCATGGGAGGAGAGCGTGACCCATCTCTGATGTTCATTTTGAAACACTTACCTCCTCCAGGCTGTGGTAGGCCCCAAAGTTGTAGTTCCCATTTCGTTCTCTTCTCCGATTAAATAGCATTTCTTCGTTCTCTTTATCCAACAGAACCTAAGACAAATCATTTATACCCAGGATTAATTTCTAGCAATGCAATTCAGTGTACAATCATGAAAGAAATGGTGGCATTCGGGTCCCCAGTGCCAGGCTTTCCTTTTCCTGTCCTGTGGGCTGTGGGGTCATGCCTTTCCCTTACTCTGACAGAGCCCTGGACAAACTTTGGGGAGCTATGGCAAGAAAAGTCCCTTGATCCCAAAGGGGATGGGACATTAATCTGGCCAGGCAGATGCTGTAGATGAGGAGGACAGTCAGTCCCATGGTGGGCTTGCAGGCACAGGGAGTAACGTGGCCTTGTCTTACGGCTCATCCCACCTTTCTGGAAACTCAGGACCAAGAGTAACCTCCAGTTAAGTAAATAGGAGCTGCTTGTCTCTACGTTGCCTCACACCCTGTAGATTGCACTTTCTATCCCGTGCTAGGGCCTCTCCTTTGCTCTTTCCCTTATTTTTTTTTGTTAACCATATCCACTTGTGCCCAATGCAAAAGGGAGAGGGACAGTCCCTCCCTGTCCACCCTGCAGGAGTAGCCCACCCTCTGGGACAGCCCTAGCGGCATATACAGGTCCTTGCCCTACCAGGGAGCACCCAAGGAGACAAGACTTTCCATTCATGTGGACCAAGATGATCTGTGGGATGTTTACCTGGACATCTTCAATCATAATGGAATAGGCAATTCCCTGGGACTCCAAGAAAACTTTGACTGCCTGGAGGCTGACAAAGGGAACCCGGACATGGACTGGCTGCCCTGGGTTGTTGGGTGATTTCCAGAAATCAAGCTGAAAGGGATAAAAGGCCAAGCCAAGGCAATGAGTGGATTATTCTAGGCAAAAGGAGAGTTGAACACTGATATGTTTCAAGAAATCAGTTTGTATCTAGTCTATCTTGAGCCCCCTAAGACCAGATCACTGTGGAATCCCTAAGATGTTGCAACAGAAGTTTTTAAATATCCAAGCATCAGCAGATGTCTTACATTGTTTTCCCTCAGTGGCAGAAGGAAAAGATTATTTAAAACTATGGCAGTGTTTTGCAAAAGCTGGCATTCAAGTGATCCAAGTCATTTCATAACAGGATATTAATACTAAATTCCGAGGAGTGGCTGGTGGGTTTGAACCACCGGCCTTCTGGTTAGCAGTCAAATGCCTTAGGCACTACGCCACCAGAGCTCCCATAAATTATATTGTTGTTGTTGTTGTTGTTATGTGCCGTCGAGTCGCCCCGACTCATAGCGACCCCTCCTTGGGTTTCCGAGGCAGTATCACTACGGAAGTAGGATTGCCCAACCTTCCTTCCGAGGAGTGGCTGGTGGGTTTGAACTGCCAGCCTTCTGGTTAGCAGTCAAGTGCTTTAGCCACTATGCTACCAGAGCTCCTATAAATTATATTAGGAGGGAAATAATGAATTAAAGGTGTTCACAGTTTTTCAAAGTAGCTTTCACATTTGACCTCTTTTCGTTCTGACAGTAAACCTATGAGAGAGGTGAATGGTGTATTTACCTACATTTTACTGCATGGAAAAGTGAGACATATGGAAGGTAGATGACTTGTTCAGTGTCACGCAGTTGGGACCAGTGCCTTGTGATCCCATCTCCATGAGTTAGCATTTAATGATAAGCCAGAGGAGATGAGATGTAGTCTAATGTAAGGCTGTCAATTACTGAGTGTAACAGTTGAGAATTTCCTCTTGGAAGTAAAGACCCCCCACCAGGACAAATACCTGAAGATGTTCTTCAGCCTCCAGTTCCACCAGGTTTTTTATTTGTTCTTCATTCCTTGGTATGATCTCAAGAACTTGATCTCTAAAGAATATTGAGCCACAGTCATGACCTTAAAACAAAACCTAGACACTGATTCCTGTTACTTTCTGCTCCAGTTGGTCTCCACATGTAAGAAGTTACTGCAGCAGTCAAGCTCTTGGTGACAATCCAGAAACTAATAAATAGTATGCTGACCCACACCCCCAGAAGGAGGAGTTGATGGAAATGGCTTTATTTTCCCCAAGGAAGTATTATCTAGATAATAATTAAGAGGTGTACCAGCTCCTAGCAGGAAGCTTGCCATTAAAGTTGTCTTTCCTTTGGCTGATGATTATTTGTCAGATAACACCTGCTGCTCATAAAGCATTGACTTTTAATACATGTCCGTTCCTGCTTTTCAGAAATAAGTTGAAAAAGTGAAATAATTAGTTTGGTGCTTACAAAGGGAATCAAATTCACATCTGAATAGACCTAGGAGCTTTCGTTTTGTTTTTTGGTTGTGGGTTTTTTTCTTTCGTTTTGTTTTTAATCAATTGCTGAAGCATCAGAGTTCCACCTCCAAATCCTATTTGTGCAGCCCAAAACTAGTGTACAGCTAGGGACAGTTGGGACCTGGACAGAGCATGGTGTGTCTCTCTTGGCATGTGCACATGCATGCACACACACACACAATGGGAAATAAAGACTATCTTGGACAACATGATGGTGCCTTCGTGGCACAATGGTTAAGTGCTTGGCTGCTAACCCAAAAGTCAAGGGTTCGAACCCACCAGCTACTCAGTGAGAGAGAAGACCTGGTAATCTACTCCTCCAAAGATAATCAGCCTAGGAAACCCTGTGGGGCAGCTCTACTCTATCCTATAGGGTCGCTCGGAGATGGAATCAGTTTGATAGCATGCAACAACAACAGCACACCTTGGCAGAGTCCCTGGGTGGCACACATGGTTCAGCACTTGGCTACTAAGTAAAAGGTTGTTGATTAGAACCTACCCAGAGACACCTTGAAAGAAAGGCCTGGTGATCTGGTTTCAAAAGGTCACAGCCTTGGGAACCCTATGGAGCATGGTTCTACACTGCAACACATGTGGTCACCATGAGTTGGAATTGCATTGAAGGCAACTGGTTTAGGACACCTTGGCAAGAAAAAGAAGTTTCAAAACAAGTACTTGCATATCCTTAGAGAAGGATTGAGCAGTATAGCTGAATTCTTAGAGCCTTTTCCTTGGTGACAGGTTCCTCCTCTATTCCTTTATCCAAAGCAGACTGACTTTCCCAGTCACTGCAATGGGGAAGGAAATTGGTATGAGGAGTCATATGCAAGGGCCAGAATCAAAGTCTTTAAAAACCCAGCCCCAGGCAATCGCCAGTGAACTAGTGGACTGCAGTGCTTTTGAATGTGAAATCTTAAAGGCTCTCCTGCCTCCAATATCCACCTGTTACAAATGTGCTGAAAGTCTTCTGTGTGAGCCTCATTCCTTGTGGGTAATACATGACCATTCCCGTGAGTCCCCTTTTAAAATGGGAAGACCCTGGGGAAAGCAAGATATTAGGCTAATGTTTCCTGGTGCGTGCTCTAAGGAATAGTAGCCCATTTGAGTTGCTCTGCAAAAAAAGGGGGGGGAGGGACTTGGTAATTTAAAAAATAATAATTGCATAAATGCTGCAACCTGGATCCCCTCTCATAGATTTATAATGCACACTGATTTAGTAAAAGTTCCTAGAAATTCTATCATTTTTTTAAACCCTAAGATTCCCAAATTTATCTGCCCAGAGTAATTAATTTGACCACTCACTTTTTTGGACACAAGTTACTTGACCACTTCATTTGTTCCCTGGAATACTCAGTAAGAAAGCTCCCTAGAGCCTTTCAAAGAATCTTGGAACCTAAGTACGGTGGATTAAGAATGGCTCCTCATCCTGGGCCTTACAAAACCACTGTAGAAGAAGTTGGGCTAAAATCTGCAGCCCTGGTCCTCCCAACCTCATCAAGTTCTACCACCTGGGCTCTAGCTCTAAAGACAGGGGCAAGGATTGACATGGAGGATAGAGCCCAGAAAGGTGAAGAAGAAGAGATGGGAGAGTAACCTTCAAGTGACCGAGTAACTTGATTTTCACTGTCTATTAATCCTACATTCTCTTCATTGGACTAAAACATGATTCAGGACAGCGAGAAATAGGGCTATATGTGTTTAGTTTCCTTTTCTTTTTTTTCCCCCCCTTTAAATATCATTCATCTTTTTTTTTTGATCACCCCACTACTGTTATCCCCACCAGTCCCCACCTCGCCCATTTCTAAGAGTTGTTGTTGGGTGCCATTCAGTCAACTCCAACTCATAAGGACTCCAGGGGACAGAGTAAAACTGCCTCATAGGGTCTTACTGTTATTATTATTGTAATCTTTACAAAAGCAGATCACCAAGTCTTCCTCCTGTGGAGCCAATGAGTGGGTTCGAAACAGCAACCTTTTAACTATTCATGCCACCAGCGCTGCTTCAAACTAAGAGAATTTCTCTGGAAATGCTAAACATTTAGATCCACTGTTCTGCAACCATCAAGTGAAAATTTCAGATTTATGGAGCCCAACCATGAATCAGGTCAGCAAAACTCAAACAGGACCAGAAATTACAACTTACCCCACAAATGTTTCCCGACAGTAGATATGCCCCAAAAGGGCACCAAGAAACAGGATCAACCTCATGGCTGAGGGATTTTCCAGAGTTGTGAATTCAGAGTCCTTCCTGAACTTTATTTATAGGGACACACGGCTGACCCATTGGCCCTCTGAGAACTCAAGTGAATTCCCACATGGTAAAGTTCCCACCTGCATATTAGACGTTCAAGGTTACAGACACCACCTGTGTGGTATCACCAACCCTCACATTTTCCATTTCTAGGATGAGATAACAAACTTCCATGGAAAGAAAACAAAATGGCTAGAGCATGCCAAGGACAAACCATATATTTCTGATTTAGAATATGAAGTGCCACAAGGTCTGGCCTGTGATAGAAGCCAGATTAACAGACCTAGAGGTTAAAGTCCTTCCTAGGTCTCTGACAAAGAAAAGGGCATAGCATTTAGCATAATTACTCCAGCATCCTGTCTATCACATTCCATTAGCTGGGTCGTTTGTTTATTTTTATAATGTTTGCCCTGAAACACTGCGATCACTCAGGCCACATCTGTGGAGTCTCCCTGTAGACGGTCCACTCTAGTCTTCACTCTGCATTAGAACACAACAGAAGGTCTTTTAATATTCCATTTTGGACTGTCTATAAAGTGATCCATCTGCATTTGCACCAAACTATATCCCTGTTTCTGTGACTTTTCCCAAAATGAAAATGTCTTTCTTTCTGATTATAACAACAAAACTACTTCTTACAGAAAACTCAAACCAAACCCACTGCTATCAAGTGGATTCTGACTCATGGCAACCCTGTAGGACACAGCAGAAGTGCCCTAAAGGGTTTCCAAGGCTGTAACTCTTTACAGAAGCAGTCTGCCTCATCATTCTCCCATGGAGCAGCTGTGGGGTTTGAACCACCAGCATTTCGTTACCAGCTGAATGCTTTAACCACTGTGCTATTATAGAAAGTTGGGATAAAAAGGAAGTGTTTTGTTTAATCACTGATAATTCCTCTACCCAAAGAAAACCATAGCTTTCCAAATGGTTTTCTATGCTTTAGAGTTTTTATTAAACAAGATTAGACCCCATTGTATATGCTGTTTTCTTTAAGCAAAGGTCTTTTAGACAAAGGTGATCTTTCCTTCTCAGTAGATAAAGATGAACATTAATCTGACTTTGTTTTTCACTGCCTAGTATAAAAATAAAGCTACCTATTTTTAGGAAGCATACTTTACTGCATTTTAATAATTTGCACACATTATATTCAGTCTAGCAAGAATCAACCACAAACAGCTACAGGGAAATTTTTGTTTGTCCTCTGTGTGTCAAATTCTTCATCTGCATATAATTTAAATCCCTGGGTTAGAATTGGGGAATATGGACGTAGTCCATAAGGCATTTGACTGCTAAACAGAAGGCTGGCGGTTCAAACCCACCAGCCACTCCTCGGAAGGAAGATTGGGCAGTCTGCTTCCGTAGTGATACCGCCTCAGAAACCCAAGGAGGGGTCCCGACTCCACGGTAGTGTGTTGCATTCTTGCGTTGGGTTAGAATTCTCAACTACCTACTTAAAGGGGGGAGGAACATATATGATGCTTCCGGTTTAAGAAATTCTTGCGACTAACTTAGTTTTCTTATGGGAGTAAGGATGAAGATAGAAACCAAGAGGAAGAGGCCATAACTTATCCTGTCCCCAGCACCTGTCAAATAAACAGTAGTCAAATTGAAGTGAATGGTTTTGAAGGGCCAAAGCTTTTTGGAAAAGATCAGGCCTGAGTTAGGCCTGAGGGCAGGTAGGATTTCCCATGGCAAACGTGAAGAGACCTTGGATTTCTGGTAGGAGAGAAACGAGAAATTAAGAGAACTGGGAAAGCACATATGCAGAGTAGGGATAAACCTGCCACATCGGCGCATGGACACTGGCAGTGATGGGAAAGGTAGACTAAGAAAAGGTGGGGCTCAGTGGCAGAGGGACTCGTCATCCAAGCAGAGGAGTTTACAACTGATGAAATGGAGAAATAAGAGTTTCAGAAGGTCTTTAAGCAGATAAGTGATTGAGGAAGGCAGTAACAAAAATAATGAATCTTACAGGGTGGATTGCAGTGGAGAGAGAATGTAAGCAGGGAGCCAAGTAAGGAGGCTTCTGGAGAAATCGAGATTTAAGAAGACACACCTGGACTAGGTGGCAGTAGAGGAAATGTATAAGATGGGCTAGCAGTGGTATTTTAGTGGAAGAATCCCATGTCCATGGTAAGTAACTAGTGCCTAACTGGGTATAGAAGTTGGGAAAGAGTACTTTCCAGTGGGTAGTATCATAGGAGGGGCAGGCAGCCACCTCCATGGCTGCCTGTCAGCACTCTTCACTCAATCGTCACACTGTGTGTCCTACTTTAAGAATTTGTTCTGAGTATCTCCTCTACAGGTGAGCTTTCAAAGAGGAACGATTGCTGAGAAGTACTCCCAATGCATTGAATTCACTGTCGGTGTTAGAAACATGATAGTTCCTTTTCCTTCATTAAAAAGCAGATGAGGATGGGCCTAGAGCTGCAGTGGGTGAAGAGAAGGTGGGATGTGTGAGGGGAAAGCCTTGCCTCCCTCCCTGCTGGGCTTAGGGCAGGCCGGCGGAGGGAACTCCAGGGTGATGCCTGAGATGGGGAAAATATGCATTCCCTGGTGTTTAGATCTCTAGTGCTGCAAGAACAGAAATACCACAAGCAGTGGCTTCAACAAACAGAAATTTATTGTCCTGTAGTCCGGGAGGCCAGAAGTCCACATTCAGAGTGCCAACTCTAGGGAAAGACTAGGCTAGAAGTCCAAGTTCAGAGTGCCGGTGCTAGTGGCTGAGTGGAAGCCCCTAGACCTTGGGCTTCAGCTCTGCCTTCCAGGCCCAGTGGAACAAGTTGGAGGGGTCTCCTGACACACGCAGCTGCTAGCTGCTGAGGCTGACCAATCCAAGATCAGCAGGTAAAATGGCACATTGTTGGGTCACAGGTTGTGAAGGCAACAGTCCCAAGATAGGCAATATGGCAGCCCATTTATTCAAGTCCAGAAATGAGAGATGATGAGTCACAAACCAAATGGCAGGAGTCTTTCCTATATATACTAGAAGCAGGCCACACCCCAAAGGCAACTCCACTTCAGCTGATGAACTGCTTATGGCAGATTCCACCTGGAGGTGATTATACCACATCCAATCTCATCATGTGGAATAACTGTGTCCACCTGCAAGCCACTCAGAATTATAGCCCAGACGAGTTGACACACAACCCGAACTACCACACCTGGAATGGATGAAAATAGGAATTTAAAAAATAAATAGAAGTTGGAGGAGGAGAAAACACAAGCCTTGATATGAGTCTGCAGTGAAAATTCCAGAAAGCACTGATACTTCTCTGTTTCTTGCAATATAAACAGTTCTATATCAGAATAAGGAGCTCTGGTAGCATAGTGGCTAAAAGCACTTGACTGCTAACCAGAAGGCTGACGGTTCAAACCCACCAGCCACTCCTCGGAAGGAAGGTTGGGCAATCCTACTTCCGTAGTGATACTGCCTCGGAAACCCAAGGAGGGGTCGCTATGAGTCAGGGCTGACTCGATGGCACATAACAACAACAACAACAACATATCAGAATAGGATAAACAGTTATATATCAGAATAGGATCTCCATATTTTCTACCTCCTCAATGCTTCTTGAGGAATAGTTGCCTCTCTCCATTTAATTATGTGCCAGGGATCATTCTAGAAGCTGGGAAAATATTTAAAAAAAAAAAAAGCTATCTTGAGGTATACATAACACAGAGCTAACTTCATATCTTTCAAATAAGTAATTTGATAAGTTTGGGTATATGTACACACCTGTGAAGCCACTGCTGCCATCAACGTCATGAACATAGCCATTATATCCAATAAAATCTGCTTTTGAGAATCTCTGAGAAAATCACCAGCCAGAAAGTGATCACTAAAGCCTCTTATTTTGCACATGAGGAAATGAGGCCTGAGAGGAAGTGACTTCAGCAAGCCCCAGGGTTGGTCAGGGTGGAGTGGGCAAGAGAAGCTCATCCCAGACCTGCATCACTGCGCCGTCGTGGCATTCCAGACTATGGTTATTCAAGGTAATTCTACTCAGCTCTAAGAAAAGACCATCTTAGACCAAGTACTTCTCTATCAGGCTACCCCTGGGGAGGCTATCATTCAGAAAAAGAAAGATGATAGCCCTCTTTACAAGAGTGCTCTAATGGCCCGTTGCTCCCTACAAGGAAGATGGTAGGCACTCTTCTCACTTGTGCCCTTTAACCCCAGAAAGTGAGACAGCCTAATAAGGAGAGTAGGACACTACCTGGAACCTTCAAGAAACAGCTGAGAAGTAAATCCTTCAGGAGAGTCACTGAACTCTCAAGCACTCCAAAATCAGAACTCTGGATACCTTTGTCTGTAGAAACACTGTTCTCTGTGGTGAAATGAGTTCTTCACTACTGCTAAGCCACCAATACAGTCAGCCCTCCTCAGAGGTTCTACATCCACAGACTCAACCAGCCACAAATTAAAAATATTCAGAAAAAAAGAAAGTAAAAAGGTAATTAAGTGGTCAAAGCAATCCCTCAGAGGCTAAAAGGGAGTGTTTACATTGTGTTGGGTATTATAAGTAATCTGGAGATGATTTAAAGTATACAGGTGATGTGCAAAGGTGATGCAAACGCTATGCCATTTTATATCAGGGACTTGAGCATCCAAGGATTTTGGTATCCGTGGAGGTCCTGGAACCAATCCCCCCATGGATATCAAGGGACAACTGTAACATGTTTCAGAACATTGTGAGTAAATAAACTTCTGGAGTCTGCCTGGGAAACACAAAATCATTGTTTCGGGGGGGGGAGCAGAGTGCTCCAAATTCCAATCATCCAAACTTCAAACAAAATGTGTGCGTCATGGGAAGATGATGATTCTATCAGGTGGCTCGCTTCACTGCTGCACATAGACAAGACACTTTTAAAACCTCATGGGACCCTCAAAGTCTTCTTAAAACCAAACAAATCGTTGAGCTTAACTAGTAAAGAGTGTCGGCTCTTTTAAGATCTGTCTATGTGGGAT